AAATTAGTAAAAACACTTATCTAACTTTCTTCAACAAGGTGTTTTGCTATCAGTAGGCTCTTTAGGAAGCTTCCTGATGAGCCTACTGCTTTGGGATGGGGTACTGCTACCCCATCCCAAACCTTTGGTCAAAGAAGCGGCACTCCCTAGCATGTTTTACCTATTTTTCAATTGATGTATGTACTAAAGCCCCTAGCAGCTGGCTATTTCAGTATGACGACATACTGCTATAACTTTATATGGTTTATCTGAGAAAATTTTTGAGATTATTAATTCAATTCTTTCTAACTGCAGAATTAATTTTATTCTCAAATGCCAAAACTCTTTATCATTTCAATTATTTTCTCGGGTACCTAAAGATTCTATTCTTGGTTTTCTATTGTTTCATTTTCATCTACATTAATGATCATCTTGACAATTATAGGGCTCTATTTGCTGATCACTCACATATACTCCTGCCTTGATGACTCAAATATACTCCTGCCTCCAAATATACTCCTGTCTCCAAATTTACTCCTGCCTTGACAAAAAGTATTTTTGATTGCTCAAAACAGGAAGATCTTAAATTTGTCCTCATTTCTGTAACAGCTTGGAACTTACAATGACTTGAGATTTTAACTCAGTTATTTACTGCAAAAAATAAACTCAGTTATTTATTGCAAACAACTATTGCAATACTGTTGACATTTCTATATTAATAAAATATTAATAAAATGCTTTTTAAAAATTGATTAAAAACAATTTTTAATCAATTTTTACAAATTTGTAGTATTTGCAAAATATAAGTAATAATAATTAAACACTAATTAAACACTTATGTCTTGTATTTGAATAGTTATTTTTTATATATAATATATTATATAGTCATTGTTTATATATAGTATATTATATGGATAATAATTATTCAAATGCAAAAAACAAGTTTTTTATAAGCATATTTACTACTATTTTAATTTTCATTTGATTTAAATATTACAGTTCATTTATATAAACAAATAGTTTTTGTTTCATTTTTTAATTTTCCTAATATATTTCATTCATTCAAAAATTAAATTTGGGCCCAGGTTGTTACTAAGACTGAAAAAACTTTTGTTTATTTATTGTTAAAAACAGTTAATTTTGTTTATTTATTGTTAAAAACAGTTAATTTTGTTTATTTATTGTTAAAAACAGTTAATTTTGTTTATTTATTGTTAAAAACAGATATTACTTACTATTAAAAATAGTTAATTTTGTTTATTTATTATTAAAAATTCTTAATTGTCAAAAGCAAATCTTAACACTAAATGAATGTTTAAAAATCTTTAAAAGTTTTATCTTTAGAATAAACAATCTTTTCATACATTCAATTCTCTTTAAATTGAATTTTGTAATTAGTTTTAACTCATTTTTTTATATCTAACATTCAGTAAGTTTAAACAAAACAAACAAAAGTGTTAGATATTAAAGTAGTTATGGCACATACTTATTATTTTAATTGATTTTATTGTCCTGGAGAAGAAATAAACTAGTTCAAATAAATAGAAAACTAGTTATTTACCACTGAGTTAGAAACCAAAACCTTTTCAATTTTCAATAAAAAAGCAATAGAAAATAAAAATAAAAATTTTTTTTAGGATGCATCATTTTGGGCCCTCATACCATCTGTTTACATATTTTTGGATTATCGTTTACTACTGATTTGTCATGGAAACCATATATACAATCGATTGCAAAGTTAGCATCTTCTAAGGTTGCATCTCTTTATTGTTCTTGCTATTTTCTTATTCCTGATTCCATTCTTTACTTCTACAAATTTCTTATTCGCCCCTGTATGGAATACTATTATAATAAAGTTGTATCTCAAGTTCATCAACTAAAACTCATTCTTGCATGACTAGTTATTTAGCGATGTTGCAATCTTTTATTGTTTCTCTAAAAACTTTTATTAGACAAACATCTTATTGAGCAACGTAATAGCAATAAATGTGAAAATATTTAAAAAACAAAACAATGTTTTTCAATCTTGACATGTTTCGTAGTTTGCATACTAATTTTTAACTCTGGAATATAAAATCAAAATTTGAAGAAATTAGAGAAAAATATGACCAGACAAATAAAATTGTTACAAACCAATAAAAATTATAATACAAATTATGATACTCTAAATAGCATAAAAATTATAAATAAAATAAACTAGATTGACAAATTTATATTACAATGAGCAGTTTAATTAAAAATGGGTTTTCCAGTTTAATATGGAGTCCTTCTTTAATTTTCAATTTGTTTTTGTTGGAACAGTATCCAAAATTTTTAAATAATTATAGTTAGCTAGATTTTTACAATTAACAAATGAAATTAAATGCTTGTAAACATTAGATTGTCACTTGTAAGGTGCTCATAAATCCTAGTTGTTAAGTGTCTGGAGGTTTCTCCAATATAACTGGTATTACAGCCAACACAAGAAACTTGTAAACAATATTGGATTTGAGCAGCTTCCGAAGTGCTTCAATACAATAAC